CGCTTTACACAATTGATGTGTGTATGGATTGGGATAACAGTTGTATGAGCCCCTAATAAAATGTTTTTAAAAAATAAATAAATAAAATAATTAAAAGAAAAAAACAAAAACAACAAAAAAAGATGAGGCTATCTTCTCCCGCAGAGATTTATAGCCTCGGAAACCCCAAGTGGCAATTCTGCTCTGGCCTTTCGGGCCACTGAGTCAGCATCAACTCGATGGCAGTGAGTTTGGAGTTTGGGTCGAGGGTTCCTGAATGCAGTGCCAAAAAAAGCCCAACCACCCTGCTACCACGTCAATCCTGACGCCTAGCAGCCCTATGCGGAGGCTCCGAGGCGCTCAATCTTTACAGGAACAGACAGCCTCATCTTTCTCCCTCGGAGTAACCAATCAACCACTGCTTACCAGCAGTCCCACCAGGGCTCCTCCTGTGCACTCGTGAGTGATCAGAAATGTAGAGCAGTGGGTTGAAGATGTTCCTCAAGTCTTGTGGCCCCCGGGGTCATCAGGTGGTTCCCCATGCCCTCCCTGCCCACTTACAAAGGTCACTCCCATCATGGAGGCTGTCAGTGCCAGAGAGATGCCAGAGGGACCTGCCAGCCCCACCTTCGTCATCACGGCCTGTCGCTTGTCTTTCAGCTCTCAGAGACCACTGCTGAGTCCCACCTGATGGAGAAGGAACTGGATGAGCTGAAGACTGTCAGCCGGAGGAGGAAATGAAGACCCCCAAAGAGATGTGTCAGGACAGGGGGAGGCCATTCATCGGGAGGAGCGTGTGGCCGAGGAGCTGTTAATTTTTGCTATTGTTTTTTTAAGCCAAACGAGTGGAAAAGGTCCCAGAGGAGAGAGTTCAGTGTGAGAGGGCCCAAAGACCCTGCACCCTGGGTCTGGCAACACTGTAGAGGAAACCAAGCCCCTATACCAGGCCAGAACCAGAAGTGTGCTCCGCAATGCCAGCCTGTAAGCCAGGTGTCAGGGACACCAGGCAGGTGCTCCGCCTCCGGTGCTCTCCAGACCCACCCTTTTGGACAGCTTCTGTTGGCTGAACAGCTGGAGGTCATCACATCACCCCCACCCCACAGGCTGGAGCTTGGGGAGAGTGGCAGGGGGAGGTCCTGAGTGGGCTGGGGGCCTTGTTCTCTGTCTCCCTCAGGCCACTCTTTCCGGGCAGTAGAGAATACTTAAACTTCCCACCCCCCCAGCACACACCCCCAGCCCTGGTGTGGCAGCAAGTACCAACTTTCCATGCCGCACTCTGCGAACGTCTAGTTGACACAATTTCTTTTTTTTGGATTGACATTAAATGAACCTGTTACCATGTGAGTTGAAAAAAAATGACGTTGCAGATCCTGAAGAAGCCGAGGGAGTCAGGAATCCAAGCTCCCCTCTCTCAGGTCATGGCGCATTCCTGAGGGAGCATCACCCTGGTGGAACATTCCAGCACCCAGAGCCCAGGCAGAGGCTCAGGAGCAGGAGCCCAGACTCCCCTGCCTTCCTCCTGGAAGCTGGGACTTGCCCGCGCCTGGGGGCACAGAGTGGTTGGGGTGGGGGCTGGGTTCCTGGGCTGAGTCCATGTGAGATGGACCTTCTTGGCAGAAGAGGAGAGTAGACCAAAGTCGGTAAGAGGGGAGTCAGCTCCCAAAGTCGAGGAGCAGAGGTGGGATGGGGGAGGGGAAAAGCCTCAAACAGAGAGGCCCTTTAGGGTGGGGGGAGTTTCCCTGGGCTGAGTTGAAGAAAAGCAACCCGATGGCTCCACCCTTGGCCTGCTTCCTAACAGGGGAGTACCACTGAATCCCAAAGCCATCAGGGATGGCAGGGGGTACAGGAGGTACTGAGAGGTCAGCCGGCCTTCATCCAGTGAGCAAGCTGGAGCCGGACACTTCTCATTCTCCTAAAAACTCTTCACAGGCCTTCTCACCAACCTCCTCCTCACTCACCGCCGTCCGCTCGATCCGGACCCTTGACGTGGGGCAGCGTAGAACTGCTTTGTCCTCCTCCCTCACTGGATGTCCTCCTCCCTCACTGGGGTCCTTCTCTCCTGCTCCCCACCCGGCATACTCCATGGCACTGGGCTATCCCTGTGTGCTTCTTAGAGCTGGTAGCTTTATAACTATCCAAAGAGCTCCTTTAGCCTTACACGTAGATTTTCATTTTTGTCTTCTAAACCATGTGAGTATCAATAGCCTTAGCGGTTCAGGTTTTCCTACAACTTGTTTACAGACACCACCCACCTCCCCCCACCCAAACAACCCAGACTCCCAAGCCCACTGCTGTCAAGTCAATATCAACTCACAACAACCCTCCAGGACAGGACAGAACTGCCCCACGGGGCCTCCAAGACTCATCTTCACGGAAGCATCTTGCCACCTCTCCTGCAGAGCATGCTGGTGCTGGGTTCAAACAACCACCCTTCAGCAAGGGGCTAAGTGCCTTAGCCGTTGCACCACTAGGGCTCCTTCATGACAAACCCAATACCATCAAGTCAATTCCAATCCTCGTAACCCTAGAGAACTACTGCTCTGGGTTTCTGAGACTGGACAACTTTAAGGAACAGCCAGCCTCATCTTTCTCCTGTACGGCAGCTGGTGGGTTCGAACCGCAGACCTTTTCGCTGGCAACCGTGCACTCGACCACTGCACCACTAGAGAGAGCCTTTGTACACACAAACTATGTATTTCCCACTTGGAGATAGGACGTCTGCCCTTTCCACATAGGATTGCTTTCTCTGCCTTCCCAGGTGATGATGTTCTAGAAGTTCTTAGCCCGGAACGCCTGGCGACTATATAGGACAGAGTAGAACTGCCACTGTGGGTTTCCAAAGCAGAAAACAAACAAAGCAAATCAGACTCCCTACCATGAAGTCGCTTCTGATCCACAGTGAGCCTGTGTTGTTGCTAGGTGCCACTGAGTTGGTTACAACCCAGAGAGACCTTATTCTGCACAACGGAATGAAATGACTGCACGGCTCTGCGCCAGCCTCACCATTGCTCCCATACCTGAGCCCCTTGCATAACCACGGCACCAATCCATCTCCTTGAGGGCCTTCCTTGTTTTCCCGCCCCTCCACTTTACCAGGCATGATGTCCTTGTAGGATAGGGTGCAACTGCCCTGGGGTTTCTGAGACTGTCACTCTTTATGGGAGTAGAAAGCCTCTTCTTTCTCCTGTGGAGCTGCTGGTGGTTTTGAACTGCGGACCTTTGGGATTGCAGCCCAACACATAACTGCCACCAGGGGTCCTAATATAAAATTCCAGGGGTCCTTATATAAAACTAGACAACATCATTTGAGGTAACTCAGGAAGCTGAACACTTAGGGAAAATGCTCCTTTTAACTTGTGTATATTTATGGTGTTTGGGGTTTTTTATGTAAAACTAGCCGACTTCAAAAAACAATACCACCTTAAATGAAACACCATAAAAATAAAATCCTAAGTGTTCAGCTTACTGAACTATCTTAAATGAACACTGCCATGTAAACCCCATGCAAGCCAAGAAACTAAACTTTTAACCACCACTCCAAAGCCACTCTCCTGTCTTATCCAAATATCCCTCTCCCTCCTCAAATCTAGTCACCATCCTGACTTTGTCCTTTTTCAAACGTTATATAAGCTTATAATGGAAGCTTATAATCAGCTGCCTGGTCCAAAGATGAACAGGACTGTTATCAGGAAGTGCACGCGGCCCCCACCCTCCCATCAACTCCAGAGGGGTTTGAACAGATGACCGAGATTTCTTGGTTTCTCACTGGGACTCCTGTGAGGATTTAGACGACTCGTCCTGAGATTCTCTAAGCCGCTGGGTCAGTCAGCACACAGTGTATGTCAACACCTTGCTGGGGGTACATTTTAAAAAGAAACACTTCTATCCATCCTATAGGCAAAAGGTGAAGATAAGGGTTCAATGATAAGGAGGGAATCAGAAAAAGGATACTTTCATTCATTGCTCTGAAAGTAGATATTACAATTCTGTAAAAGCCATTGACTAGTACCTAGCAACAACTTTAAATGTCATCCTTTTTTGGCCAGCAAATCGAGAAATCGGCCCTCCAGTAATATATGGAGCAGCACTGCACTGTGTCTCAGTTCCTCATCTGGAAAATAGAGATAATAGTAACCCAATCCAGTGGACTTTGTATTAAATAAGCATCGCGCGCAAGCGCGCCATTAAGTGCCGGGTTCTTAAGTACTTTGTTTTTGAGTTTACCTTGTGGTTAGCGGTTGAGTCTGAGCCCACGATGTCACCAGGGCTCCTTAAAAGCCCAATAAATCTCCAGGTTTCTAACTTATTTCTACCCCCCATCCCCCCAAAAAAAGAAAAACAAACAACACACACCTCTCAGGAAATGGAAACCGGATCAGGGTTTCCTTTCTCCAATGGGATTCCAGGGAGGCTTACTAATAAAGCAGATTTCCGTGTAATCTGCCAAATTGGATTCACAAATTGGGACATCGGCTTCCTCTTGGGTGCTGTGGGTTGAATCCACCTGCCAGAGGTCTGTCTTGCTCAGGGCCACCGTGCAGTCCACACAGCGCCCGTGTGCAGGGAGAAGGGGGCGCTGCCTGGCCTGTGCCATCCTCACAGTGGTCATGTTTGCGCCACCGATGCCGCTCCTGGAGGGCCTTCGTCCTTTTCCCTGTCCCTCTCCTTTTCCAGGGACTGGTCTCTCCTGACCACATGGCCAAAGCACTTGGGACAAAGTCTCGCATCCTTACTTCGAAAGAGCACCCTGACTGTACTTCTTCCAAAGCAAATGCATCTTTTTCTGGCAGTGCATGGATATATTCAATATTGTTCGCCAACACCTTTCCTGAAACACATCAGTTCCTCCTTGGCCTGCTTTGTCTCTTGCCCGGTTTATGTATGTCTTATGTATGGATGCTTCGGGCCTACTGAAATTTGGGAAACACGGGACAAGCTAAAGGGCTTTGGCTGCCGCCTCAGTTGACTAAAGGGAGTTTGAAGACCTCCCATCTAGAGGGCGCCGCTCTCTCCTCAGTTCCGTCGGGTTCGTGGTGGCCGGAAGGGCACGTCTGTCCGCACTTCACGCGACGCTCGACTCCTCTTCCGCTTCCGGTGTCCCTTACAGCCATGGCCGCCGCCGCCGCTGCAGCTGGCCCTGGGGCGCCAGCGTCCCCGGACGAGTTGCTCCCGAAAGGCGACGCGGAGAAGACTGAGGAGGAGCTGGAGGAGGACGATGACGAGGAGGTACTGGGGCCCCGCGGGACTGCCAGGCGGGAGCCAGCGGCCGGGCGGGAGCCGGTGCGCCCGGGGGTGTGGGCGCCGCGTGCTGCGGGATCGGGGTGAAGGGGCGTCGCTGAGCCGGGGGAGGTGGGAGCGGCGGCGGCTTCTCCGGAGGCGGGGGTGGGGGGAGTGTCCGGGCCCCCTGGGGCGGAGGCCCAGACCCGCGTCTCCTCCCCCACAGCCAGATGAGACCCTGTCGGAGAGACTCTGGGGTCTGACGGAGATGTTCCCGGAGAGAGTCCGGTCCGCGGCCGGAGCCACTTTTGACCTCTCCTTTTTTGTGGCTCACAAAATGTACAGGTAAGGGACGAGGGCGAAGGCGGCGGGGTGGGGGTGCGGCCGAAGGACGCGGGCCTTGGAAACAGCAGAGCTGGGCTGGAGCCCAGCCTGCCCCCGGATCACTGAGTGACCTTGGACTGGTGGCATCTTAACCTTCTGAACCTGGATTTCCTCCGCTGGAGAGGGAATGGTGTCGGCCAGGGTCACGGTGAGGATCATTTCAGATTAACTGAGCCAAGTGAGAGATAAGCAGCTTTGTTAAGTAAAAGAACACAGGCGCTCCCGAAACTGCTGCCGCGTGCAGCTAGTGCTGCTTGCTGGGGGAAATGCCTAGTCTGAAGTAGGGTGGGGAAGGCTTGGCTCCTGGTTTTTGTGACTTCCCACCGCGCGCCCCTTGCAGGTTCTCCAGGGCAGCCTTGTGGATCGGGACCACCTCCTTTATGATTCTGGTTCTCCCTGTTGTCTTCGAGACGGAGAAGTTGCAGATGGAGCAACAGCAGCAGCTCCAGCAGCGGCAGGTGAGCCCCGTTCTTGGCCTTTTGCCAGCCCTGGAGACCCGTGGCAGCTTTCCTCCGCCTGCGTGTTTTGTGCATAGGGATTGGGCCGGCCGCCACAGCTCGATGGCGTGCTACACTGTGCTCTCGGCATTGTGTGGCTGACCCTGCTCTTTGGTGGATCTGAGGTCTTTCCCCGGTACCTTGCCACCAACTAGCTCATAGTGGCCCTGCAGGAGAGTGGGACCGGACCACCTGAGGACAATAACTCCTCTGGAAACAGCCAGCCTCATCCTTCTCCCTTGGAGCTGCTGGTGTAGCCTGGCACTTAATCCACTGTCACCAGTGTTCCTTAACCGTGAGCTTCTCAAGCCGCTACAACCCTGACTGCCCTCTTTTTCTCTTCCAGATACTCCTAGGGCCCAACACAGGACTGTCAGGAGGACTGCCAGGGCCTCTACCTTCACTGCCTGGGAAGATCTAGAACTTTAGCCTGTATTGAGCTTAGTGAGAGAAGTTTGAATTTGAATTGTTAGAACTGCTGATTTGGGGATTTTTTTGTTGTGTTTTGGTCAAACTTTGGCACATTGATCTGTGTGGAACCAGTGGGAGAATCCCTCTGCCCTACAGATACACCTGTGCCCTCCACTCCGCCAGGACCGCTCTTCTGTCTGCACACCGACCCGAGTGCAGCAATGCAGACGGTTACCCACCACCCACCCCTTGCTAAATTGCTCCCAAGTTGTCCTGAACCACTACCCTCTCACTCTTCTGAGACCCTGGAGGAATGTCCCCGAGTGTTGGTGACTTGGCTGTGTCAGAGTGGAGAGGTGGGGGAGGGACACAGAATGTGCAACAGGCGCAGTGCATTACAGTGGATAGGCACAAACCCACTGTGCCCATGTGTTGGGAGGAGCTGGTTCCTCTGCCTTTTGGCCGATAACCCTGTATTGTGTGTATAAAAAAAATGGCAGCAATCACTTTTTGTATTTAAATATTAAAAATGATTCCAACTGAATGTGTCGCCATACCTCTGTGTTGCTTAAACCAGCTACCGCCACTAGCGCAGAGAGCATTTGACAAGGGCAGAGATGGGGCTGCTACTGAGCATTTCCTATCACCCAAGTAGCACCACTGCCTAACAGGATTGGCCCTAAGGCCTTTGTTAGTGACAGTTCCCAAAGTAAAATCTTTGAAGAAACCTTCTGCACAGTAATCTTCACCCTTAATTCGGACAAGGCAGTCACTAAATGGAGGCCTCTAAGATGACACTGCACTTCTAGATGCTTATAGAGAATGATGCCGGGGAGTGCCAATTTTTAACCTAGGGACAAGGAGGAATTGCCAATAGAACTTGGGTTTGACCTAGTCTATTGCCATGCGCAGAGTGGAGGTGAACCCTGACCTCTCTGGATCCCCCAGGCTTCCTTAAAGCATCCCCCATCCAAAGGGCTGCTCCATAGCAGTCTGCTGGTTGGAGACAGTCCAGGCTCCATTCGGATGTGCTTTTCCCTACCCTTGTTGGGGGCGCGAGGGGCATCCTGTATATATGGGCTGGATCTTTGAATGCCCAGCTGTTTTCTGTCAATAAGAGTGAATTGGAAGCCACTAGGATTTCTTTAGAACCAAACAAAATGAGAGGTTTGGTTCTGGATTTTCATCCCAGCACAAAAAGCCTGTGGAAGATGTGTGATGAGGGTCGGGAGTTTTTAGAGCAGCATCGTAGCGATGTTTGTTTCTTTACATAACTTCAGGCAGACAAGGAAGGAGAATTATGTATGGAGTTTTCCAATTTTAATGTTTGGTTAAACAAAATACATCTTTTGTAAACAAACCCAGCACAAGGCCAATGACAAAAAGGAATAAAAGCAAGAAAAACAAAAAGCCTAGGGTTGCCCTTCACTGGGCATCAGGGATGGGCCTGCCCCCTTCCTTAAAAGAGGTAGCCCTCTTTGCCCTTGGGCATCAGCATGGGTCCCTGTTCCTAAGCACCAGAATCTGATATGAACAGAGAAACCGCCCTGAAGTGCTGCAGCGTCTTTGCATAGCCCAGCTGGCTGGTGGGCCCAGGTGCCCAGGGCTCCTAGGAGTGCTGCCAACGGGCTCAGCAGGGATGTGGGGAAGAGCTTCCTCCTCTTCCCAAGAAATGGCTTACTGTCATGGCCATTGCCAGTGGACCCAGGGTCCTGCCTGTGACAGCAAGGTTGGCTGTCACTTCCGGCTGATGCTGGTTGGAATGTAGTTGTACAGAGCCGGTCCCGGCGGAGAGAGCTCCCTGTGGTGCCGGAGCAGGTCTGTTGTGGAAAACAGCACAGGAGATGCTGCAGCCGCTGCCTGGTGGCTTCTGTTACTCGGCGTAAAAAACCAGCCTCGTTGTGTTGGAGATAGGTGTGCAGAACAAGTGCTGGTGTAAACATGCACTCCAGTCACAGTGGGGAGGAAGCCTGGGCTTCGTCCCGTGGTGCCAGCCTGGCTGGCTCTGCTGAGAAGTCTGGCCAGTGGGGCAGCTCCCAGCCCTGGCAAGAGCGCTGATGTGTGAGGACTGGAGCCTCCCTGCCTGAGGACACCACGCCACTGAAGACTGTGGGGCGGGACGTACTTCTCTCCTCCTCAGCTGTGCCCCAGTGTTACAGGACTAGGGACCCATAACTATTTCAAGAGGCGGGCCAATTGTGAGTTGTGAAGGAACCCTCAGAAGGGTGACGACCACGCCCAGGGCTAGAGCATACCGCACACAACACAGACTCAGGCTCTGCTGCTGGTCCCAACGGTGACCCGAGCCTGAGCAGCTCATCTTCACAACACTTGCCGCCAATTCTGTCCCAACAGAGTGCAATGTGCTCTCACAGGCTGACAGGTGACTGCGTCTGACAGATGGGTCACCTGGAAAATGTGTTGCCTGTCTCCTGCCCCAGGGCCTTCTAAAGAAATGTAGTGAAATGGTAGGAACAAAACCACGAGAGAGCTCCTGAGACGAGCCACCTGGGCCTGCCCGAGTCGGGCTTGGCTATATCCTTAGGTCAATCTCACCCCTGTCGCACTAGAGTATTGCAGGACTCAACCACCCGGCTTGGACTATTACAGAACTTTTCATTATAAAACTTCAAGGATGGCCGTAAACCACCTTTCAGCGTCAGGGATTTAAAAAAAAGGGGGTGGAGGCAGCACGCAGTCCCGCTGCTAGGGCTTGAGATCTGGTTGCCTGAGCAACCCCACAGCTCTCGGTCCTCCGAGCCCGTGTCAAGCTATGTGGGCACCTGTGGGCACCGCGTCTTCAGACCCAGCGGCTTTCCAGGATGGGGGCAGTGGAGGCAGCATCTCCAGATGAGACGAGCCGCAGCGATCCACTCACTCCAGCAGAACCTGCGTCAAGTCCTCCCAGGAAAGTGAAAAAGAATCCGGGACACCCCCTCCCCCCCACCTCTCCCTTAAAAATCAAGGGTCTTCAATGGCTTGCCCTAAGTGCAAAGAGCTCCTCCCTGCCTTTCCCAGAAACGAGCCACACTGCTGGTTCTTCCAACCGTCCCCACGTCTGTCCTATTGCACTGTCAGGTTGAAGGGGTGGCCAAACCTGACGAGATGTTTGGGGACATGGTCTGGGCAGAGCCGCTGTGTGGGCCACAGCCCGTCAAGGCGGCTCCAGGGCTGGGGCTCAGGGAAGCCGGGGTGGGGCTGGGTTACACATCAGTCCTCCAACTCTGACGGGCCTCCACCTCCTCAGGGACCACCAGCAGGAGTTCACAGTTCTTTCCTCGCAAATGGTGTTTGAGAAATTTCCTACAAGGCGGGGAGAAGGCAGATGGCAGAGAACATGCAATGCTGGCTACACGCTCCGAAGAACCGTGCTCACTCATACCCTGGGCTCCCAAACCACCCCGAGAAGAGCCCCTCACTGCTCACGCTCAACCTGTCCTCCAGCTAGATTTCCACTTTGAGTTGTTGCCAATGGTAACTAGTCCTAGAGGGAACAGCCTGAAACACTTGAAGTGAAGGATTTCTACTGGTTAGAAACCTCTTCTTTGGTCAAAGGGCAACTTCGTCCTCTGGCCTGTGTCTTCCAGTCTCTGAACTGGCAACCATCCCAGTGCAATTATTAAAGTGTGGGGAATGCTAGGCCCCACGCCTCGAGGAATCTGCTCACCAACCTGATGGACTGGCCCAGATTAAACCCAAAACCAAACTGGCTGCTATCGAATTGGTGCCCACCACAGCGACCCTAGAGGACAGGGTAGAACTGCCCCTGGAGTTTCTGAGACTAACTCGATGGGAGCAGAGAGGCTGTCTCTCCCAAGGAGCAGGTGGTGTTTTGAACTGCTGTGTGTATGGTTAGCAGCCCAACCCGTGCCCAGTACAGCACCCGGGCTCCTCCTGGCCCAAACGAAGAAGGTCATTAAAGTCGGAGATCCTACGACTGTCAGCGAGGCAGGGAGATGGGATGGCATGAGCGTCTCCTTTGTCAGGTAACCAAAGATGCACTCAACTTCCCCAGAACACAGGCTAGTGGAACCTTGCCCAGCACCCACCAGTCAGGCATGCACAGACTACCTGAGCTCACTCTCGCCTCCGATCCACTCGGGCACCTTGAGTTTGGAGTCAAGGTTGTAGTAGGCCCCGCCCACCTCGCGCACACAGATCCAGTGCTGCCTTTTGAGGGGCAGCTTCACTGGACCCCAGCACAGGCTGGAGGGCAGATTCATGATGAAGCCCATGACGTTGGTAAGAGCCAGGACGCCGACATCCCTGCAGCAGAGGAGTTGGGGTGAGGAGGTCCCCCTCAGCTGAGTTCCCGGACCCAAGGCTTTCACCTCAACCATGAGGCCATGCCGTCCCCGCTGCCCACAACCCCGAGTCCAGGCCGGTGTGGGTTACCTGCGCTTATCCCACCACACAGCCTCGTAGCCTTTGGTTTGAAGGGCCGCCATGATGACGTTCACGTCGTAGTTCCCGTTTCCCAGCATGCTCTTCTTGTGAGGTGTCACCATGGTGTTTGGGGACAGTCTGAAGATGTAAAGGGGAGAAGGGAGCATGTGTGCTGTCTGCCTGGCCCCTGGACCTGCACCACCCCAATGCCTGGATGCTTTGGCCCCTGGCCCAGGGGCCACAAGACCTCTTGCTCCCACAGGATTCTAGCCTCAGCTCCAGCTGACCCGGGAATAGCCTCCCTCTTGCCAAAAAGGTCCTCAGCATTGAGGGGGCGCTGCCTGCGGCTGCTTGGCAGATCCACAGTGCAGTTCGCGGGCCCGGAGCAGCGCCCTGGCAGAACCCCAGCCCACCTGTTTCTGCAGTCTCCCCCCATTCTCGCCGAGACCCAGGCCCTGTTTCAGCACTGGAAAGAGCACTTGGTATTTCATCCACCTGGGACCCATCATGACTCCTGTTTTTCCCAGTTTTAAGTGCTTTCCACTTAAGGTTTGCACTTATAATCGTTAATTATTAAATGCTCCGAGGCTGGCAGGTGACACAAACGGACGCCTTGCGCCAGCGTCAGGCAATCATGACTGATGAGGCCTATGTCAACTGAAGCGCCCGGCCCGCCTACAAGCATTCCAAACACATGCCCGTGGGCCCGTGTCATGCTTCAGGGCAACGGCTTCAAACGTCACTCCCACCGTGGGGCCGCGAAGGACTCCAGCAGGCTCTTCCAGCCGCAGTCTGACTCCCACTAAAGGGCTGGGTGGGGCCGTGCCAATGGGGTGGAGGACACGCTAATGCGGGGACTGGTCAGTTTTGCCATCTGGCTGGGTTTTCAATGAGCCGTCTCGGAAGCAGGAAACCAGGGGTCTCACTTCCAACGAGAGCAAGCCAGGAGTGGAGCATGTCCTTCAGACCCGAGATCCAGGAGGCAGAGCCATGTGACACACTGTGCAACAGCAGAGCCCGCGCCTGCCGGAGACCAGGTGGCAAGGGCAGCTGGGTGCCTTGGGAATGGAAGCAGAGGGACATAACCTCAGCCTCACAGGCCAGCCTCCTCGGCTTGAGGCTGAGGTTCCGTTTCCTCCCCGTGTGAGACCAGAGGGGGTGAGACAGGCCCCAACACCATTCTCGCACACACACACACACAATCAGTAGAAAAAGATTCTTGTGCCAAACACATAGCAACGGCAGTCTTGTTTGCCTGACTTTGAGCCATTGGTTGCCAATTCTCTGGTACCAGCAGCCTTTCCAATCTTTTCTGCTTTCCTGGGCTTGTAGGGCCGGGCCGGAGCAAAAGCCCTCCTGAAGAAGGGGCCGGAGCTGGGCCCGGAGGAACGGGGGTGTACAGAGCTCCCCAAGGAACGGACGTGGAGGGCACATGGACTTCAGGCTTAGGACAGCAGCTCTTCAAGAACGTCGGAAATCTTATCAAGGTGTTTTTTTTTAACTTTGCATACAACCACCATACTAACTCTTCTCCAAGCCAAGCCATACTCCTGCCACTGCTTAACCCACCCTGCGACTGGTGATGCCCAAAGCACTTAGAAAGAAGCACCGGCGTCTCCAGGCCGGCCTCATCTCTGACCTCTGACCACACTGACCTTCGCCCAGGAAGGGGTCACAGAGCTCCTGCCCCACACTGCGCGGTAGCAGGCAGGGCCCGCCGTCAGCAGCCCTCTGTGCTACATTTTCACTTGATTTGCTCCTTCCTCTTTCTCGCTTTGAGTCTCACCTGGCCTTCCTTGGCCACCCAACCTGATGGCTTTCTCAGCCACTTCCTCTTGGGTCACCTTGCTGTAATAGCACCCCGTCACCGCCAGACATGTCTTGCCAGGCGCTTTCCCACGCAGCGATGGCAGCAGGGGTTTCGTTGGCCTTGGTAAGCCTATGTCACCTGGCATGGGACGTGACAGGTGCTCAGGGATGCTCCTGTTTAGTTTGCCATCCTGTTTCTTTCTTGGTCAATGAAAGTCAACTCTTAGAATGAAAGAGACCTCCTGTTACTAGTCCAGAGTTAGCAAGAAGGGGTGATCTGAGACACTCCACTCTGAAAAAAGGAATCATCAAGAGCCCACTGCCACCATGTGCATTCCAACTCAGAGCCAGCCTGGGGCATGGGGTTCCGAGACTGTCCATTGGTACGGGAACAGAGAGCCTCAACCTTCTCCCTCAGAGCGGCTCGTGGGTTTGAACTGCCAAACTTCTATCGAACCCGCAGTCACCAGGGCACCTATCTCTCACAACAGCTCCCATGTATCGAGGAGCTTTGTGTCAAGTGCTCTGGGGTACGTTTTCCCAGGTGAAGGGGTGAGTCAAAAAGTACTGTTTTATTAAACAAAAAGATCAAAACGTAAAGAAGCTATGGTTTCCTGACAGGTCCTCCAGAACGTGGCATCTCCATCTCTCTGGCCTTTTCGATCGGCACTGCGTGACGACAATGACGGCATCGCCACGGGGGTCCCATCATGTGAGAACAAGAAAAATCCTAAAGGGGCAGGACCAGGGCTGCAGCCTCTCAGAGGCCCTCTCCTAGGACAGATCTTGCCGCCCTTGAAGGACGAGAAGGGACATTTGTTGTCCCAAAACCCTTGGCACAACTTTCCCAGGTTCTTTCTCCCCAACACAGTTCTCGTTTTCTAAAAGCTTCTTCATAATAGGCCCCCATGGTCGTCCTCAGTCCTTCAAAGCAACCTATGAAGACGCCCCTTAGAATCACACAAACCATCAAACCACTGCCATGCCCTTCGGAGCTGGCCTCTCTGCCTTGGCCCGGAGAGCCCCTGGGAAGCCAGTTTTGATTGGCCTTTGCTCTCGGGAGCTAACTGGCAAACCCAAGACATATGGCTCAAAAGACTGATGGACCGAGTCTTGGAGCAATCGCTCTTGTCCACGGCACATGTAGCCTGACTTGTCACGGCTCCCTGAGGCACACTGAACACACGGTACGACGGAGCGAGCGGATCTGCAGCCCTTCACAGAGTGCAGAGACATGTCTAAACAGGCTCTGTTTGGAATGAACTCAGGCATGTACAGTCTCGAAACCTAGAAGCAAGAGTTTTTGACATGCTGGTATCTCATTTGCTCCTACCCTCCTAAGAGGGCAGAAATTATGATTTCCATTTCATAGATGTAGAAATTGAGGGTCGGCAGTGTTAACAAAGGGGTCCTGGTGGCCTAGTGGGCTACCCACTGAGCTTCTAATCACAAGGTCCACAGTCTGCACCCACCAGCTGCTCCATGGGAGGAAGACGGCTACCCCCGTAAAGATTGGTCTTGGGGATCCATGGGGGCAGGTCTAGCCTGTTCTATGGGGTCGCTATGAGTTGGAACAGACTCGAGGGCAGCGAGTTTTTGAGATGTTAAAACCATGTGGCCTTCCTCACTAGAGTTCAACCCTCCCCAGCTGTGTTTGCTGCCTGTGGTGAGGACCCACAGGGTAGAGTGCGACAGGCCAGGTTGATGACCACTGAGGCCCAGCGGCCTGGACCTACAAAAGGTGACTTTGTAGGAAAAAGTCCCCCGTCAGCTCCTGGCTACTTGAATTAAATGAGACAGCACAAGCATACGAAGGCTACTTCAAGATTCAGCAAGTGTCCCCCTCTGCAATGGCTGGCAGCTTCCTATCCCCATCAACATTGCCTCTGACCAGCACGGGCCTGAAGGCTCCGACGAGGAAGACAGGGAAGCTTCTGCCCCTTTCACCAGGTGAGCTGTCCCCGTCCCCCACGTAGAGCTCAGAGCAGCCCTCACGCTTGGCCAATGCATCATGGGAGTAAACCTGTCCCCCAACAGGCCAGTCTTAATCTGCTAATATTCTCTGTGAGTCTCCTGGAAGTGGGGGAGTCTGTGCTTCAGCTCTCAAACCTCCCTGACCAGGTAACATGGTTTGGAGGTACGCCTTACAGGTCTCAAGGAGCCCTGCTGGAGCTCTAGGTTAGGGGCTGGGCTGCAGTTCAAGCCTACCAGCAGCCACTCCACGGGAGAACGACAAGGCGGTGCTCCTGGGAAGAATGACAGTCTCAGAAACCCCCCGAGGGCCAGGAGTTGGAATCGACTTGCTGGCATGTGGGTCTGGGTGTTTGGGACCAGAATCTCTCTTCCAACGCTCACCTTCCATCTCAGCTGCAAGCCCTTTCCTCTCTGTCTACGCCATCGCTCCCTGAACCCGGAGTCCCTGACCTGGCACCTGGCCTTTTCAAACAGGTCCTTAGCTGATCTCCTTGCTTCCAAACTCTCCTTCCACCAATTCAGCGCCCTTCATATCCCGCAGAGACCCAGGCATCATTTCACACACTTACCCGGAAACTGATGGACAGCACTGGTGGCACTGTAGTGGTTACACACACGGGCTGGGCGGCTAACCACAAGGTCAGCTGACTGAAACCACCAGCCGCTGCTTGGGAGAAAGACAGGGCTTTCTACTCCTGTAACGTTAGTCTCGAAAACCCACAGGGGTAGTTCTACCCTTACTGAGTTTTATAGGGTCTTGCAGGGTCACTATGAGTAAGCATCAACTCGGTGGCAGTCAGATATGGGAATAGAGGCTGGAGCCGGTGCCTGGCGGGTCATCCCTAGACCTCTGGCCTCGGCTGGCTGTTTCCCATTCCCTGGGCCATTCCAGCCTTTCTTCTTTCATCCCTGTCCCATTCCAAGCCATCCCTGTTAGCTTCTTCAAGCCCAACCTCCTGTACCAGGTCTCCACGGGCTTGTTCCCGGCCTCTCTATGTACCAGAAAAAGGAGAACTGGACACCGCACAGATTGGAATTCGAATCCAAGCACCACCAGGTCTTACTGTGAACCTGCCACCCAGCTAGAAAACAGGAACGCGTCCTCCCTGGCAGAGCCTCTGAACACCGTCACCGAGTCACTGCTGACTCCGCGAGAACACCAGGGCTCCTGAGGGCCACTGAAGGGCTCAGTTACTTACGTGCCCGCCCAGAAAGTAAAGCCCCAAGCACAAGGACAGCTCTTCTAACTGGATCCCTCACAGCCAGGCACTGCCAACCCAATAAACACTTGTCAGTCAAACCCAAGGAGCCCGGGGACCATGGGGGAAACATATTGGCCTGCTAACTTCAAGGTC